GTTATGTTCACTACATTACAAAAGCGATAGTGCAGCTCATAAAACAGTTTAGAGAAAATCATCAGGCTATGTTTCCAGGCTTCAGGAAATGTTCTGGGCTCACAGAATAAAGTACCAAATCTCTTAATTCTTGAACAGAGAAGACTGCGAGGGGATTTTATCCATTTTTTCAGAACTCTCAAAGGTATGGACAAGCCCAGGGGACTTCATGACTTCCCTGCCATATTATCAAAAGTGGTACTCAGACTTCCACCAAGAAATATCAATGTGAGATTAGAAATAGCTATATTATTTTTGCCATCCCCGTTATTACAAACAACAAACGGTGGTAATTTAGACCATTTAAGTCAATTGGTTCAATTAAATTATGAGAAGCTCAAGTGAAAGAAAAAATCAGAGTTTCTGTGGCTCTTCAACACCAGATGTTACGTTTTCTGGTTTCCATCATTTCCAGTCCCTGGTCTTGTAGTCTGGATACAAGGGAAGCAGAATCCAGTTAACATGGATTCCTGCAAATTGTGTTTAGAAACCCAGTCTTCTGGTTTTTAACCCCACTCAAACTCACTTGTAACTTCAGTGATCTAAATTAGTGGTCTTTTCAGCTTCTTGAACACTGTGTCAAATTAAAAAAAAATACAAGTCAGCAAAGGTCCCCATCAAATACTGTATACATAGCAAAAATATTTACTTTAAATAAAATGAAAAATCATTATTGATCTTCTGCTCCTGAAACGTAGGAGATTCACCCTCATCTGCATGGATGTTTTACAGGTTTACAGGTTCATAAGATTTTTCATGCACTTGTAGTAGGCCTTAATATCCCGCTGTTTCATTTTTTTTGTCAAATTGCTGTTTTTTTTTCAAAACCACATGATTTATGGATGTGTGGAGCTACTACATGATTACTGATCTGACTTGTCTCAGGTAGATACCTGTATAAGTAGTATTTTATTTGAATCTTTTAAAGTTGAAAATACACTGGATTCAATTAGAGTAACTAGTACCTTTACAGGCCTTGATGCCAATGTTACTCTTCCTAATTTAACAATTTGACCAAGTATTTCACTGCAATCAACACTGTAAGACCTTGTGACACTCCAGAAACAATTTGACATATACTGTAGTTCTTGTCTAGGAAGTTATTCCCTGCCCTACGCTGCCTCTCAGTGGTCACTGTACAGGTTTCAGTCAACAGGGTGTGTTTCAGTTTTCTGTGCTTTGTGCGGACAGCATACAGGACTGTGAACAAGAGATAATTATGTTAGTGCCTTCCTGGCTGTGTATGTACTGTTTGTGATTGAGGGAGTAGCATTTGATGTCTATGGGTGTCTCTGAGTAGGTGTGGCTGAGAGCTCCTCTTCCAAATGAGGTAGAACAAGTGGTTTGTAGATCAATATTAATGTATTTCAGTCTGTTAAATGCAGTGACTTAATGCCTTCTTAAAACGAAGAAGCCCAACTAGACTCAATTTCCTTCAAGTATGCTGTGCTACTACAGTATTGCACCACATATGCTTGAAGATTGAACCACACCTTTCATTTTTCTACAGAAGGTTCCTTTTTTATTATTGATTTTGATATAATTATTCAAGAAATACCTCACTGTTGTGAGACAAATTTTAAAAATATTTTTGTAATTTAACATCTCAGCTTGGACTGTATCTCCAATAAAAATGCTTTCCTGAGCTTTCCTTGCCCATTTAGAAATACACCCTGTACTGCAATGGCATTTTTTCTTAATCACACCACCTGGCACAGTGTAGCCTTAAGTCTTTGCCAGGACTCCAGCTGCTGCCAGTGTTACACTGTTAGATCATCTGGTGAGAAGGAAAATTCAGTCGTAGGCCTCCCAGATCCGGGGCTGACCAGCTAGTGGATATTTATCTGATTAGAGAGGGTTAACATAAAATATAGGGCAATGCTAATCCAATGACTGTTAAAAATCCTACAGTTTCTCACAGTGTTCCACCAGTCAGAGTCTATAGCATAAGTAAGAATGGAATCTCAGCTGCGTGCTGTTGCTAATGGCAGAAGTCTGTATGGCTTTGTTCCCTCCCCCTCTTATCTAGCAATGCAAGTACAATTTCTGTGAATGGGAAGGGGGTGAAATAAGCATACTGAACATTTATCTTTTGTATGACATTTTCCTTTCTGCGATTGCTTTTTTTAAAATTCATCTCCTTCATATTTGTATTACAGCTGCACTACAGATGTACTTCCAAAGTTGGTATTTCAGATGATAATATGTATGTGTCCAAATACAGAAGGATTTCATTTATTTACCATGGTAACCATTCATCTAATTATAAAAGGGAGGTGGGTGTTTGCTTTCATGCAATTTAAATGTTGCATAATGAATAATTGATCTTTTTCAAGTCACAAAATTAGGAATGAAGGTTGCTCAAAATTATTTATCATGTGTTTTGGACTGCATTGTCTTTATTTCATTTGAAAACAATATTTGTATGTTTTTCTTTCATTGTTTTATGTAATAAAGAGGGTACAAGCTGTGTATTACATCCTTGATATACAAGCTATACGTTGCAAGCTTCATCAATATGTTGGTGTGCATATATATTGTATTTCTCTTTAAGGGTACAATTGGGCTCATTAATCCAGTAGCTCCCACAGCAGCAGCACGAGGTTAACAGTGCAGATTTCACCAAAAGATGATCCCTTTGAAATACATAAAAATAGCCTTTTGGGCCTGCAGACAGACTTACCCAGTTCAGAGTACTACAACATGATTTTGTTCTAGTTTTCAGCTAAAAATAAAGACACCAAGAACCTGCAAGGAATGGCTCACAGTCCTAGATAGCACTTTTTTGTTCTTTACTTAGAAGTGTTGAATGTGACTGAGTTATGCAGGTGCTGTGGTGAAGTGCATCATGAAGTACATCTATAGGAGATGCATGCAGCCAACACCCTGTTACCCATGGCAACAATCACAAGCGCTGCATTGGGAGGAGCCAATGGTTACAGCAATGCTATTGGATGGCAGCAGGTGTTCTGAGGTTCTGTATGGGGGGGCAAGAAGGATGGGGAGGGGAGGAGTGGGTGTCTAGGAGAAAGAATGAGAGAGCAAAAACTGCCACTGCAGTCTGGCTGCACTGTAGTTTTTTTTGCTTGAGAGCTCTTTCATAGGTAAGATGCTTGTCCAATTTAAACAATGTCTGTTGTCCCCAAGAACTCTGTGTCTTTGCCATTTTCAACTCACAGTAAAAGGATGCAAATAAAAACAATACAAAACACAGGGACTCCCTTAAATAAAGGTATGCACTGTATTACAATAACTAAATAGTATAAATAGAGTATCTCTTGATTATCACACTGAAGTAGAATTAATGGCGTAAATGATTTAAAAGGCGGTGATCCAGGATTTCATCAATAAGACATCAAATTCACTGAGAAAATATCTTCTTAGCAACATATCCAACCTGTACAAATCCCTGATTGATTCACTGCAATACCAAGGCATAGCACAGAAGACTGGGTTAAGTCTGTTTTAAACATACAGATGTACTTTTAGAGATTAAAGATCTCAGACACTTCATTACGTGAAATCTTGGTATCTACTAGCTCTAATGTGAAATTCAAGGATTCTATCAACTGTATTAAAATATATTTTAATTTTGTGTTTAAAGTGGTTTACTGCTATTGTCACACACAATTCTTGTTTGGTTAAAAACTTACAGAAAGTGTTATTTTACAGAATGATGATGACAGATGCTATTTCAAAACAAGGACAAATCTTTACATAAACTAAAACAATACATAACAGCAGCGTAACCTCACGTAGTTGTAGTTTCGGAAGCAAAACGAGGTTGGGGCAGAGCAGTACTGTGATGGGAAAACTCCATGTAAAACCAGATTGATGCTGTATGTGGTGTTGGTGGACCAGTAGGTGGCACTCTTACCCCTGGACAATAATTTCCAAACCAATGCCTCAGCATACTGTAGCTATCAGGGACACTGCATTATAGGGGGTGCTGTCTCTCAAATGAGAAATTAAACAAAGGTGACTAGTTGGTTGTTGCTCTGTTTGTAAGATTAGTGGCACTCTGTTGTTCTAGATTCAAGAATCCTCTCTTGCCTCTTTGTTATTTGCACTGTGTGCTGGGATTGCTGGTACTGTACATAATGGTTGCTGCATGTCACCCAGGTGAGTGACTTAAATGGCTAAATTGGATGAAGGGAGTCCCCACCTATTGCTTAATGTAGTTTATGATATATTGGGATGAAATTATTAAATAATTAGATTGATATAATAATAATTACCGTCTTGAGGTACTTCATAAGAAAACAAATGCCACTAAAAGGAACAAGACATCTGCTGAGCTTTAAAACTATATCCACAGCATGAGGAATTTTGGATGGGGGGGGTTCCTTTCTAAAAAGGCTTGCCTGTTTTCAGGGGCATGCTGAGAATGTTCAAAAGCTCAGAGTCCTGATAGAGCCAGGCAAGGAAGTACGGTGGCACTTTGTGTAGGTTGCATAGTTCTCAGCTATGCAGTGCTTTCTACTTGGTATTTCTACAGTGCGACTTTAAAACCAGTTCAAAATGAAAGCAACAGCCAAGGCAGAAATTTAAAAACAGGAGGGATATAACCTCTAGTCCAAGCCCTGGTTATTATATGCACTGCCAATTTTTACACTGTATTCCTTTTCAAAGCACTTCCTGACACATTGTTGCTTATGGTCCCAAGGATTTTCCTTGACTGTGTTTACTGGGAATTTCCGTGTTTCAACCATTTTCAATTTCCACCCCAGCAAGAATACTTACCGTACTTGGCTAAAATTGAGAGAAATAATTTGTGGAGGATTTGCTCCTCTGTGAGAAAGGCTTCAGAGCTTCCTCACTACACTTCCTCCTGTTCTGACCCTAGAGATGTCTTTTAAACTTTTTTATGTTTTTATTTTCCCAAGTAATGCCTGATAGTAATACGGCACATGCAATAGGATACAGAATAAAAAGGGAAATCAAGAAAATATTCCTTCATGTTAAGAACTTTTCCTTCTTTTATTTTCTGAGATCAAAAAACAGCAGACATGTTCAATCATGCTTCACATGGCTCATGCTCAAATGTTGACAGAGGAATTCATTTTGCAACAGTGGCCACTTTCTTTGATCTGGCAGTCAGTCTCCAAATGAGGACGAGCCTGTCGAGGAAGCAATATAATTAGAGAGAAGCTGTGCAGGACAGTGTTGCCCTGTTTGAGTGGCAGACATGAAAAGACTCTTTTGCTTCAGAGCTGGCACCCAGCAACTGCCCACACTGCCAGTTCTGCCTTGTTTTGCCCAGGCGGGGAATGGCAAAGTATGATTGGGTACCTTAACTCCTCCTGTGCTGTTCTCAAGTATCTGCAGTGAGAGAGAGATGCACATCTATTCCATCCTATGATCTCGTTGTTTTATCTGTGCGTCTTATTGTTGTTTCTTTAAATTTCATATCAGAATGTGATTTTGAGCTTTATGACACTAACACATTTTTCATTTTATGAAGTAATAAAGAATAACGGGAGAGATACGTCTGTTTTTGACAGATGTATTAGACTCGTTTGAAAGGAAACCTAATGTAGAATTATGTTCAGTCTTGCTGGGGCACAGATAAATAGAGAGTACAGTCATGCACCGTGTGCATATTTATTATAGTTGCACAGGCAGGTAGCTAGCTACATCATTTCACATCACTCTCTATTTCAGACATTCATGTTCCAATGCATCTATTGTCCTGTTCTTCCTGCATAAAGGAGATTCCTGAAAGGCCTGAAGAGCAGTATTTCACAAGCTGCATATTAGAAAGTCTCTGCTTTTTGGAATGAATATCTGATCACTTATGTTTCCCCCATATTTCTTGTTTCACAAGGCCGTTTCCCTCTACGCATGCTCACACACAAAGATAAACACACCAAACCATAATACCCCAGGGATCTGTTCTTTCAGAGGGGCAACAGACCCTTTGCTACCTCGTCTCTATAGAAACGGTGCCTTGGCTACAGCAATTATTGCAAGGTCTCTTTGACTGGAGAACAAAAACAGTGTGTGTCTAACCCTTGAAGCTGTGCTTAGAATATTACTAGTCATTCTGCCAGGGTGTGTCTTGACCTCTTACTCTTTCTCTCCCCCACCCCCCTTCCTTCTCAGAATGACTGCCATTGGTATCATGCTTAGACTTTTTGTTTAGGTGGTTGAAAGATACAGTATATTAGCCAAGGAAATACTCAGGGAACTTAGATTGACAAGTCATCGCCATACAGTAATAATTAAAATGGGTGGCCACTTTGTCCAGCAGTGCAAGCCAGTCACAACCTTAATGATCAACTAAACATTCTGTTTATTATTAAGTTTTGTTTTTTGTTCATATAACCTACAGTAAAATCAATAGAAATAATAATGATGATATGTTAAATCTCTGATCAATCAATGAGTAGCAACCAAGCAAGAGGGGTCAATTAGCCTCCTCTTGTTTATATTTTTAGCCTGTTATGGTGTGTAGAAATGGCACTGGGTTGTTAGGTTTTGGGTGTTAGCAGAGACATTGTATTTGTAACTTAAGCTTTAGGTTATTTATTATTAACTAGTTCATTGTCAATTCAAAGATAAATATTAAAACTATTTTCATGGGTTTCTGGAATTTAAGTTAAATAAAATGTTAAAATGTCAAATAAAAATTTATAATTTATGTTTTATTCTTGACTGAATCAAAGGAATTTTAAAATTTGATCTCAATATTTTACTTTTTCCTATCGTTGAAAATGATGTACACAATCAGGCATTAAGATGCTTTTTATAGTCTCTTTTATGTGAGAACATGCAGGAAAGATGACCTCTCCCACAACCTTACCACCTGTTTCATAAACTTCCCTGAGGAAGACGCTACTGGTCTATTATACCCAGAACCACCTTGTATTTATACAGCATCTTTCCAAGGGTTTTCTTTTTGCTCAATCATATTTCCTCGTTATAAAGTATGTGCACTGTCTCAATTATGTATATTGTCTTGTTTGTGTATGTTATAAGTAGAATGTTATTGCAGCACCAAGTACAACAGAGTAAATTACTTGTTCATGAAATGTACTTGGTGAATAAAGGTGGTTCTGATTCTGACATGGTGTTGTAACAACAAGGTAAAGTATAAAGTGTGAGAAGATAATGATCGAATTTCCAAATCAGGCCGCAAGATTTGAGATACGCTTTCTTTTCTTCCCTAACCACTAGTAACATCGTTATAAGTACATAATAGAAAGATGACCGCCATTCTATAATTGCATATATTTGCATATCGTAAATTTATTTTCACGAGTTTTAAGGATCCAACACGTATTTAACTTGTTTTCAAAACTGATTTTTTTTTTAATTTATTTAAGTGTATTACTGGGGTAGATGAAAAATTAGATGAACTATATGTGTTTGAAAGTTTTGCTATTACAAAGAGATTCATGCTGTCAAAAGTTCACGGCTATTGTGGAGAGACTGCTTGGTGCTGAAGGGACAGCGCCCAAGACTGAGATGACGATGCAAGTCGGCACGCACAATGCGGCCTGCTGGGCAGGTTTTCCCTTGGGTTACATGTCTCGTCTCCTGCACCAAATGAACACCAGCTCAAACAGACACCTGCCATGGCTCCTGCATCGCACCCAGAACCAGAACATTTCGCATGCTGAATTTTACAACAAAACGCAGTAGATCCGTTTTTCACTCATCTTCGTTGATCGCATACTGTATCTTGACTTCTTTAAAAAAATACATCTATTTTTTCTACTGCTTCAACACGTAGTTTTGCTATTTATTTCGTTTTGATAACAAACGACTGATTATCAAAACTTCACTTTGACCAAAAAAAAAACTGAAAGGCTTCGATGCATTTCATGTATGCTCACAGACCATTTCACGGCGTGCTGACAAAGGGATGCTCAAACATGCATTTACTAGTAAGATGCAGCTACATTGCCACTGTATTCCCCCAACTGAAACCATAATTTTAAAATCCCTATAAGAGCATTAGGAGTTAAAAGTCATACAATATACAGGAGTACATTATATTCACCATCAACACCACATCACTTCCGGATGAACACCCCTTCACCTCTCTCTTTTGCTCTCTCTCTTTATTTCGCTCTAGCTCTCCTCTTGGCGGACTTACTTCTCCTGTTTGCCTGGAACTTCTTACCTCAGCTGCCTCGCTCCGCACCCAAGAGCGCAAGAGGGTCTGTTGTTAATTGCAGCACTGGCGGTAGTGTTTGTCAGTGTCTTCTGACTATTATTTATAGCGTTTATTTAAGAGCCTCTGGCTTTCTCTTTTAGGGATTGAAATGGGCTCGGCATCTCTGAATGACTGACGTTTGTCTGTTTGTGTATGTGCAACAGATTGGACGCCCATTTTTGAATTAAAAACGAATTAAGAAATAGTGCTAAATAGTGCTAAACTTAAAGAAATGAGCACTGTAAAATGTTTAAATATAAAAGTTGGGATAAATTCCGAATATGAAATAGTGTTCTTTATTTCTTCTCCTAAAATTATACCATGCGCATTGAAAAATAAGTACACATCTCACGTACCGGTGTATCGTGATTTTTTATACTTCCCTTCTTTACATATTGCATTTCAGGGCTGAAGATTACTGCGCCGCACACCCTGTAGTGACTGAGGACCACCTGCACCAAAACTGGTGAAGGCGGCTATTTGCTGTGCAAATTTAACAACGGCAGCAGTGGCAGTAGCAGTAGCAGCAACAACAGCGAGCAGCAGCACACATTGAAAGATGTCGACCACCGAAGAAGTGCCTGCATTTTTTAAAAACATGGGATCAGGCAGCCCCAAACCGCGGCAGAAATTCTGTGGCATGTTCTGTCCGGTGGAGGGTTCGACTGAGAACAAGACCTTAGATTTCGACTCGCTCTCAGGGAGCCGGGGCGGTGGCAGGACTGACAGTAGGGTAATTGACAAGCAGAGGGACATCTCCCAGACGGGCTATCCCAGAGGCACATCGTTGGAATCGGGGAGGAAGGTGGAGATCAGGCGAGGCACCGGCAAGGAAGCTCTACAGAACCTCAACGACAAGGTAGGTGTACCATTGTGCACTGTAACGTCAACGGACTAGTGCATCTTTTCGTTGTCAAAGATGTTTTTGGCTTTCTTGTGTCTGCCTGAATTAAATAATAAATAAATGGACTGAAACTATGGGAGAATTGTAAAGCACTTCCTATTGATCGTTATTTCTTGCTAAAATTTCCATTCTTTGCCAGAGGACTTATTGCTATGGAATGTTAGTTTGATGACTAGACAATACCATTTGGAATCGTTTAACTAATAATGACTTTGCACTGTAGCTTCATAATGCCCTTTTTTCTTTGTGCATTTTTAAGTAATTAGGTAGTCACATTGTATTGCTCTGTCAGCATTTGCAAAGTCACATCCACCGTGCAATTGTGAGATATGCCTACATATTCTCCTCTGTTTAAACAGATGGGGGTCTTTTTTATTTTGGGTCTTTTTATTTTGTCTGTATGTACACCTGTGTCTGGAACTTCTTGGCCTGTGATTAGAAAAAATATAAAAGACCTCCCCCTCATTATATATGCATCTAGGAAACCTCAGTTTGGGCCACTCTTTCTCAATGGGACTGTAAAGTTGGATCCAGCACTGAGAAGCCTGAAGGAAGAAAAGCCCAACAAGAAAATCCAAGTCAAAGCCATTTTGCACCTTTTAAAATTAATTTCATGTTTGATATAAAAATGAAGAAAAATGACTGTGGCATTGTATTAAACAAGAGCTACAGACAATCAAGGGTACAAGGGGAAAGAAATGAACTTCTGTCTACGAAAGTCTTCCTTTGTGATGAAATGGAGCAAATCTAAGATGCAGATGACCGGTTCAGAGAGGCATCACCTCATAAATGCACTGTGCTGTACATATGTTTGCAGAAAACTTTCTGGACAGGTCACATCACACTCGTATCCTACACTTGGATTTTTTATAGAAGCAAACGCTTGTATCAAGGACAAAGAACAAATGCAGGGGCTTACCATACAGCAGGTCCAGAGTGGCTACACATAGTTAGAGATTTTGTATTACCCAAACCTTTAATGTATAAATCGATTCAATTGCCAGAGTTCATTTTCCAAAATGAACATTAGTTCAACTGCATTTTACAAAGAATGAATTACACCCTCGGGGCCACAGGGCATTCTGCTTTTTTGAACCCAACTATTTGCTTAATCAGACTAATTCTGTCAGTTTGTTAAATCTCACATGGGAGAGGATTTTAAAAACGTGTTGAACTGTGGCCCCTGTCTCTCCATTAAAGAGGCCAATAAACCTTTGAACATTGACCTTTGTGGCTCTCCAGGACTTGAGAGGGCAATGCTCATAAGATGAGCAATAATAATAATTAATCTTTGTGACTGCTTTTCAACAAACCCAAAGAATATGCAACAACACGCACTAACTGCACTGTAATACACAACAGAATCAAAAAAGAATGTTGGAAAAAGTACAGGAAGTTAAATTTGTGAAACCGTAAGTAAAATCAATCCAGTTTTTTTTTAAAGATTTGGGCAGCCAGTTCCACAGACACAAGTAGACTCACTCACCCACTGAACGGAGCATGGTCTTCATCAAAGTAAGATGTCCTGAACCTGTGGATCTTAGATCTGTAGACCTTCGATTAAGATCTGGATTATACTCATGCAATTAATCCTTCAATAAATGTGTACAGAAAAGTTCACTTTGAATTTCACTGGAAGTGCTGATGCACAGTACTTTTATAGCACATGAATTGCAGAATTCTGGATGTACTCAAGCCTGGTGGAAGAAAGATAATCTTTCATTTGATGTTACTAGCATGCACTTCAGATGAAAAAAAAACACTAAGGTGTCTAACCGTGACAAAGACACCACTACACAAAAAAGTACAGAAGAGGCAAAGTAAAATCTCAATTTAAGTGTCCAGTTTAGTTCCAGATATGATAGTGTTTCCACAAGCAGTCACATTACATATGGACATACTGTATATATCATATCGAGAAATTATTTATTCATTTGATCTAGACCTTGTTCCAAATGTGTCCTTATGTTACAAGACCTCCTCCCACACCTGTATAACCTATGAATTCCTAAAAGAAGAACTCTAATCCAACTAGTGCAGGTGTGCAGTGATGAACACTAACCATGGGAGTGTGTTACAAGTAGTAACCACACTGAAACAGCAGACAGGATCAGGATTTTAAAAACAAGGGAGTCACCTCTGGTCTTTAGTATTGTCCTTTTATTGTCTCAATTTTTTCAAATATTCCCTCATAAAACACATTGTACTGTATAGAGTGTCCAACAGGATTATGTAATGACTATGGCAGATGGGGTCTACTAGTGCAATAGTATTTCTCTACCAAAGAGTTTTAAAATTTCCAGTTCTATTTTTCAATTTGTTTTATAACAAGATTACACGATTTAAAGATTGTACAGTGTTTCAATGAGCCATAACATAAAGAAAAAAGGGCAGTCTTTGTCTTTTATAAAAACTATACTATGAATACTGAGATTGTTTTAGATTATATATCATGCATTCCCAGCATCTTCTGTAAACGTCTGTAAACTGGACAAAGTGGATGTAGATATTTAAAAAGAAACCAATAGTTATGCTGGAATAAACTTTAAAAATTGATCCAAATCTTCACTTTACTGAAAAGGTAATTGGCAGGTTTTTCCCAACAGAGCCATCAAGAGACTAACGAGCTGTTGTGACAAGCCAAAAAAAGGAACAATACATACAATAGAAAATTGGGACCAGGATAAAAGCAAAGAAATCCTAATGTGTAAGACACGCAAGATGCTATGAATGATAAAGGACCACAGAGCTTGTTCTGCTAGCTCAGTGATCTAACACCCATTGCTAGGCCACATCCTGAACACAGTGACTTAGCAATCACATATTGTATTTTTGGTAATGTTCAATAAAAACTGTCAAATCTTTTTTTTTAAAGAAATACCAACTCCCTTTGATTCCTAAACAAACACTTTTGCTTTTCAGGTATGTGAAATGTTTTCAGGTATGCAAAAAAATGCACTTTCATGTTTTTCCATGGAAATTCAAAATGAATGCATGTTTTTTTTTCATTTTAGATTTAAAATTCTTTTAGTTTAAAGATAAGATGTTTGCATGGAAATTGGGTAAATGTTTTATATACCGTATGTATGTGTGTACAGTATGTCCATATATACAAATGTATTCAGAACATTGATATAATGTAACGGATCATTTGCTTTCATAAAACGAATGCAAGTGTGCATTCTGTATTTGTAGAATAAATACATGAAAACATTAAAACATTAATATAATATAATAACAATATTAAATATATTAATATATTAATATATAATATTAAACAATTTTTTAAATATAAAATGTTCAGAATGATTCATTTTGCAACAATCAGTATTTCTTTCTAAACCTGCTATGGCTTACATAACACAGTGAACATGCTTCCTGTAACTTTTAATAAGTTCACACACTACTCAGTAAGGAGCTTTAACCATACAGTACCTCATACAATCTATTTTTCAATATGAACTTTACATTTCTGAATAAATCACACTGTACTGGTAAAAAAAAAACTTAATTTGGTTTTAAAACAATTACAGTACATCCTTTGGTCCCATTTGACTTGGGACGTGTGGTCATGTGTTCATTTGGCAAATTCATGTCTGTTTATATTTATGTTGACATGGAGTGACTCCAGATTATTGTTCTGAGGTGTGAGTTAACCTCTCAATCCACTTTGCTTACAACACATTTGAGTAAAACTTTCTTACAGTCTGTTCCTGGTGGATCAACCATCTTACCAGCTTTCACTTTTTGGATGATAGACACAACAGAGGATAGTTTTATAGACTGTCTTGTAGTTGTAAGAGTCTGTGAGCTAATAACTACTTACCTCAGATCTTTGAATAATTCTCTAACTTCCCCCTTGATAATGTTATTCTGAATGATTTGCTTCTGTGTTCACTCTCCTCAAATTCCCAACGACAATCAGGGCAACTTCTAGAAATGTTCTGTGGCCTTGTCCACCTACCAGATTAACACAAATCACTAGGGAGACTGAATTGTCTACATTTTAACAGATTTATAAGGCATGAATACATTTAGATTTATGCAGTTATGTTAGTCAGACATGTTATTGTGATATCCAATATTGATAGTCGTATGACAATGAAATGTATATATTAAATACTGGCTGTACACTTGCATTTTGTTAACTCTAACTTTTGTTACATTGTGTCAATATTGCTTGAATTAATGTGGAGCTAACTGTGCATACTTTATGTACAGTATGGGGTACAGTATATACTGGATATGCATGCCAGCATGGATGTATATCTGCAGTATACAAATATATAAAAGAGGAGGAGGGGGGGAGAATGGGTTTTTATTTTGAGACACTAATATATTGACTGAGGAAGAACAATCTTTATGTAAGGGACACTAGTTAATTATTTTCACAGAAAAATCCCTTACTGTTCTGCAGACCCTCAGCTTGACTTTATAAATGTAATACTTAATTTTTCCAGATACTTAGTAAGTCAATAGAAAACATATTCTCATTTACAATGACTACCTGGTACTGCAACCATTCTCAACTAGGTATTTACTGAAGCGAAGTACCTTGATGAAAGCTTTAAAAGCAGCATTTCATCTCATATTTCAACCCACAACCCCCCATCATGAATCGAGAGTTCTACCCAGTGCTTTATACTGTCTCAAAACAGTTTATCAGGTAAAAACTAATGTAGTGCAATTGCTTAATTTAGTATACAATGAAGAGTAGAGTATGTTTATAACAAGTGATGCTCACTTGGGAGAGCCCTTGAGATAAATGAATATCAATTCACATGAGCAATTAATGATTTGTAATTGGTTTAACTAGACTTACTTGCCATTGTTTCTATGCCAGAAATCACAGAGAATTTTAAGATGAAGGTAGGACCATTCAGGGCTGTAGTTCTCTGGGATCTGGAGACAGAAACTGTTTCATGCGCTGCTGGAAACTCCAGCTGACAGCTGACACACCCTGAAAATGAATGCTGACTGGTTCATTACAGTGCGGCACACATTAGTCCAAGAGGCTGCTACAGAGATTTATGTCCCTGTGCTCTGGAGAAAAACCTGATATCACAAGACTCATTCGCTGAAGAGTAGTTCAGACAAATATTGGAAAATAGGCAGCTTTGAATTACATATTAATGGTTATTTAAATATACTGAAATATAACAATACCTATCTGATTATATTATGAATATGAATAAAACAGGTTGTAAAGGTTCACACAGTTCTTAAAAATGCTTCGAATGCTATGGTGCATACTATTATTAACATCTAATAGATCATCTCTTTTTTGTTGATTTGAGAATATTTTGTTTCATTTTCATAATTGTTTGAATACACGAGAAAGTTAATTATTTTTATAGTTTATTTAATTAACTTCTTGATTTAATGTTTACTGCAGAACCAAATAACGAGTTTACCGTTGCCATGACAATAGGTATCCTGCTGTAGGTGACACCGCCCCCGTGCAGAAATAATTTGAAACGTCAATTAACGGACCCGAAGAAGAAGCCGTTGAAAAGGAGAAGAATTCCGTATTATATAAAATACATATTTACATTGAAGTAGTTAGATAATATCACTGAAAAACAGGGAATAGGGAAAGGTTTTTTAACAGCATACTCGCAAAAGAAGTAGCGAAGAGAAAAATGGTTCATGGAGACCGCAGACAAAGCAACCGGGTACTTTTGTTGTTAATGCCCCTTCTTATTACAGTAGTTTTCGTAGCAGTATTGGTAGTAGCAGGAGGCCTAATATTAGTAATTGGTTGTGATCAATTACCACTACTAAGTAAATAAAAAACACCACAAGCTGCTGGGGTAATACCTATATACTGATTGGTGGTAAAGGATATGGATGAAGCATTTCTTTAATAGAATGAGTAAAAACAAAACGGAACTTCTCAATTCCTTTTAGCGACTTTTAAAGGCTTGCTTTCCATTATCTAATGAACGTATGTAATACACTCCCTCGTTTAATTTCTGAGAAAATGTACAATCTATCAATTGCCGGAGTGAAGATTAATTAGCTTTCAACGTTTCGCTGAGAAGCAGAACTGAGCGACTGCTTGCTCTTAAAATCCTCATAACCCTAAAGGCAGTTCTTTCAAGGTTGTTTACTTGAAGATTATTGTATTGCAAAATTATTAACTCATGGGAATATTATTTAAGACAGTAAGTTTTTAAATCTTTTTTTTTAGATTGGTAATGTTACTGGACGTTGTATATGCTGAAAGCTATTACAGCAAAAACGTACTCCAAAGACTAGCAAGTTTGAAAGTGTATTTATTGTACAGTAAGTCATTGTGGTCTGTTTGCTTATCTAGAAAGGGGGACTTCAATCAGTTTGCTTTTGAATTGGTCAGTTTTTCCAAATAATATCTAATCCTATTGCCCTAACAATTTTTTCAAGGTTAATTTTCACTTGGGTTTTCTGATTCTAGCAACCTCATTATTGCAAATAATAATGACCTGATACTTTGAAGCCATCTTTATAGAATAATAAAAAAAAGGTTTAAAAGGTTTTCTTGTAAAGCTGTCAAGACTAAATTAAGAATTAGCCTTAAAAAGTCTGTAAAATTATTATTTGTCTTGATTAACTCAAGGTTGCAACCCTCACTAAGATTATATTGTTTCTGGCAATGGATGGATATCTGTAATGGTATTTTACAGCAGCCCTTTTCGGACAAATATAGGAGAAATCACATTCGGGTCATGCAAAACCAGTTAAAAATTCAAACCTCGTCTTGTTGTTAATGGTATTATTACGTAATACTACGCTTTAGTATTTATAATACAATCCTTTTCCAATCTGTTCTTTTCCATTGCGATATTCTGTACGGTGTAAAGATCTCCCACATCTGCAGAATATAAAAATGAAGGCTTGCTAGTAAAAAGGGGGAAAAAAACATGAAGTAAACAATCAGATTAAACGGCTACAGTGAGGCGCACTATGAGATACGGTTACATATTGCCGTTGGCATATGGGATCTAAAGCTGATTGATGAAGTTTGGAATTTTGAATGGAAAAATGGAGAGAAAATTGGAGAGAGACGGCGATCCAACAAGGGTTTTTCGGACTCGGCGCAAGTGCTGTGATTTGCATTCTGAACAGGGAGGCTATAGAAACTATCCCCACCATTCAGCCGCCGCCATCCCAGGCTAAGAAAAAGGAGGGAGGATGGGGGGCTTTCTGTTGGAACAGGGCGGGGCACTGCGCATGCTTGCTGGCCTCCGCTGAGCAAATCGTTCTCCCAGTGTGTCTGTGTCCGTCTGGGTAGGTTTGGTGCAGCAGCGGCAGAAAAGAAAAGGCTTGCATTGAAGCCGAGAGCTTTTCCCAGGTCTGCCATCGTGGTGGTTCGCCAGCTGAAGCGAAGACTATTGCTGCTGAAAGGCTGCCGCAGGAGGTCTGTGTGGCTGGTGGCGGTGTGCGCTGTGTCTGCGGGTCGAGTCGAGCGAGTGTCAAACCTGCTCCGTGCAACGTAGCCCGAGCATCCATTCCTTTCACGCCTATAAAGACACGAACAAACAATATCGCCTGTAATAACGTAATAGCGGAACCGAGATGTCCGGATACCAGGGAAAGAAAAATATCCCTCGGATCACCGTAAGTACGAAGAGTAGGTTTTCCTATGCGACGTGAAACAAAAAAAAAAACTGGGCTGCCTTGTATGTGTGCGTTCCTGGTGGCAGCAATAGAAAGGACAAGGATTACAACAAACACAATGGACACAGCCGTCTTCCTTTTTTTTGACGAATGAATGCTTTTGAAGGCGGCACTTCATTAATGCTGTATTTGAAATAGGATTAATAATGAACGGGACACTTTAAGCCATTAGTCAGTTTTGGGTACCAGTGATCTTAAATAACGGTGCAAGGGTCCGTAAATGCGCAGTCGTTTGCAAGGTGTTTTCATTGACAGATGAACAGGGAGGAACCCTTGGATTTAAAAGGGCGATTTCGTTTTTTGGGAACAAAAAAACATTGATGTGAATTGCAGTCTGCTTATAAATGAACACATTTTGTCTTAGCACTGTTGTTATACTGTATATTTTATTGGGATAAGCCTGATGATAATGTCCGTTTTTAAACAGGCTGAATAATTACAGCTAGAGATAGCTAGAACCAGCCATTGTGTTTTAAATGAATGCTGGGTTCCGTTAATTGTAAGGGCGACTTTTTACCGATTATTGTGGTTTCAAAATCCAAGAGCACGGCGAGGCTTGATATCGAGTTCTTTTGTACTTCGGTTTACTGTGCTGGCCAAGCTAATTGACTGCTTGTACCCGCCCATCCGTTCTTGTTTTAGTGCCTGGGAAGAGATTTAGTAATCTTTACCCGAGCTAATATGGTGTAATTTGTATATATAGGCTACATTTCATATGGCGTGAAATACTGTTTTTGGAGAACTCTGGTTAGGGGCTTGGACAGCGATACGGTCTTTTTTTAATGTCCGCACAGAAGCCGTGGGAGATCATGGCGAAGAGAGAGAATAGCGGGGTAGGATAATGGAAAGAAACAGATGGAGGCACTGCCTTCCTCCTTCACTTCCCCATCACTGTGTCAGCCACTCTGATAATGAGCAGCCTGCCAAAAGAAAGCCAATAACATCAGCGGAATAAAATAGTTAAATACAGTTTGCGAAAGTTTTTTGTATTCCTTATGTTACTTCTCTTACACTGAGCTAACCCAGTGCCTCCAAGCGAGTTAATATCTTAAACAAATCTTTACTATAAGTATATCAAGAATAGCTTGGTGAAAATTCCTGTATACAGGGAATATAGGTCATTGGTAGTAACCCAGTTTCAATCATTGTGATGTGTAATTCATAACTCATTCTTCGATGAGACCATATTTCTGTATGTTTTTCCTGTAAAACAAAATATTTACCACATAGCAGCATTTCTTCTCAGAACGATTACATAAGGGGTAAAATCCCCGATTGTCTCCCTCTCTCTTTTGTCTTCACAATTGAGGCATCTCTGAAGTCAGCTATTGCAGATGCATGGGTGGGATTCTTCAGACATCTGTCAGATGACAGGTTAGACTTGGAGAAGATCAGCTAAAGCTTTCTCCTCATGTATGATCACTTCTGAGTGACCAATTTATTTGCTACATTAAATGCTAGGTTCAATTATCCTTTCAATTAAATGTGTATATATATAGTCATTATGCAGTTTAATCAAACTTTGTCTTATCAAGCACAAATGCTTTGTGGCTCCTAGCCCTGCTTCTTTCGAAGTGCACCTGCTCACTAGAAATAGCAGTAGTGCTGAGAGCCCACACCCTAACTGACAGGCTGCCTGCTTTATCTGAGGAGCTGCTTGAGAAGAGGGTGCAGCCTGCATGTTTCAGGCACACCGTTACATCGAACGGCCCTGAGGCAGAGGGCCTATTCCATCTCTTTTGGAAAGAATGGCAAGTTTATCCACTTTGTGTTTTTCACCCTTTTGTGCATTCTGTGGTGTACAGTATATTTATAGTACTTTAAAGCAGACATGTATTTAGTATGCATTTGTCTTAAAATGTATTTCAGTCCACTTTAAACATTTTTTTGCCAAACATGGTAAAAGATATGAAAGAATGTTGTTTTCTGAAATCAATAAAGTATCCATCTATCATTTGGTAAATTATCCTATATATGGGCACATTTCATAGATTTTTCCCCATTAAAAATGAATGCACGTTTAATGTCATAATCATGATTATGTTCTAAATGGTCATTTGTGATATTTGTAATGCAATTATTCATTTTTTCAATATAAAATACCAGTAATTTATTCTTTGCTTCTATTAAAGTTCCACTGAAGCAGAAGCAGTCTTCAAATACAGTGCCTATTCATGTAAAATGGTGCATACATTTTTAAAATTTAATGTTATGCTACTTCTCATTGTTTCTTTTATCAGTAAAGTACACCTTAAAGCAATATTTAAGTTCATGTATAAGGTTTTCAAAATGCTCTGTCTCTTAAAAAGCTAAGACTTTAAAGATTGGATTTATCACCCTTCTTAAAAGGGTTCAGGATGTAATTTCTTAAAAGCATTAATTAGTAGATGGTTCAGACAGTGGAAAATATTTTTG